AGTTGTTAGTCTTGAATTTTTATAAATTCTGTTCAAAAATGTTCTTTCATTTTTAAATAGGGTCCAAATTAAAAAATTTTCATCACTTTGAAAAATCCAAATTTGGCTGAAAATGAATTCCAAAATTTCCTCGTAGGCTATGCATGAAAATATGCACAAAACTACAAGTCCGCTTATTTCCTTGTGTGAGCAATTTAAAATTGGTGGGGTCCAAATCGGAGGAAACCAGTTCATTCCTACGCATTTTAAGCTTAAACGAAAATATGATGAAATTCGTTAGCCAGAATCTGTATTTTTCTCCCTCGCGAGCATTATGAAAAATTCTGAAACACGTTTTATATTGTTTTTCTAAGACCCCCCGTTATCGTGGTTTCGGTAAAATCGGAGTGAGACCGCTGGCGTCATCGCATTGTAAGTTAAGGGTCCTAAGTTCATACAGTATAGGCAGAAAGTCTTTCCACCCTAATACTTTTTGCACTTAAAGCGTTATATTGCTCGAGAGGCTTGGTCGAATGAACTGGAATTTTGCACAATTGCTTACCGCGATGTAAGGTTTTCGAAACCATACTTTGGATAATGGGGTGGCACAACGAACGACACAGTGTAATTATATCCAAAATTTCAATAGGAAAAAAGTCTTTCCACCCACATTAAATTTAAAATTTGTTTAAAATTGTTCTTTGTTATACAACAATCAAATTAGCATTTGGCATGTACACCTGGATCCTTTTGGAAGGCAGGAACACTTCTTGGTATCAACTCAACAAATAAGTTGGTGACAGAGGTGTCCAACTTCTCCAATTTAAGTTTTATGGCGGCGTCTAATCTTTTCAAGCTAGATAGTTTGTGCTGAGCAATTTTGGGCTTCACAATTGACCATAGATGATTGTTACGATTCTGTCCGGTGATTGTGGAAGCCAGTCCAAGAATATAATCTTCTCTGTTGTCAAGCGATTCTTCAATAATTTTGATTTGTGCTTATGATCCCCATCCTATTTTAAAATAAAATTATTCCCCGATCGTAATTTCCTTCCGTCATCATCAAATTCCAACCAGAATGCCGCTATAGTAGTTGGAGTCCATGATTCCTTTGATTCAATCCAAATTTTTGAAGCCCTTCCACCACGTTCACGCATAAACTATTCGATTTCCACCCCCATGCATAATGGTTAGCGTACAATACCTTACCTTGTCTGTATTTCCTTGTCGTCTCCAGACCCGAGTGACCCAATTTGAACCACACAGGTTGGTATTGGTCTCGTCGGTCCAGGGTATTGGTTTCCATTCTTTAACGGTCCGATTTAGGTACTTTTTAGCTAATTTCGAATGCATAGCCATAGTTGCCTTGAAGAGAAATAGCTTTTACCGCACAGCTGGGCCTTTAAATCCAGGTTCCTTGATTCTGTTCTTTATAATTTGCACATTAATTTGAAGGTATATTTTTCCCTCATTTCCAGTTGATTTTTAGACCAGTAACCGAGGATCTCACTGAATCCTAAAGAGGCCGGCGTGATAGATTCTTGGGGTCGAAATCCTTAGTCGTCTAACATCTGACTGGTTGGCCACTATCCTAAATTGTTTGCACTACCGGACTGTTCCGGTAAATATCTACTTCCTCATAAGCAGTTTATCAAAAATTCTTTGGTGTCGAAGCCCATTACCATGAAATTTCACGACATTTTACCCGAAATCTGTGGTAAGGCGTTTTTCAGGTAAAGTGACCTAATATTAATGGCAAGCAAGTAGTTCACCGTTATAGAAATGCAATTTTTGAAAGAATTATGAACTATGAAGTGGGTGCACGACGATTTTGGACGATTTTTTGAAGAAATAAACTAAAAGTGCAAAGAAGTCATAGGGTGGAAAGACTTTTTTCCTGTTGGAATTTTGAATATAATTACACGGTGTCCTTCGTTGTGCTATCCCTTTATCCAAAGTATAGGTTTGAAAACCTTACATCGTGATAAGTAATTGTGCAAAATTGCAGTTCATTCGACCAAGCTTCTCGAGGAAAATAACGCTTTACGTGCAAAAAGTATGAGGGTGGAAAGACTCTCTGCCTATACTGTACCTAAGTGTGTCCCTGGGTTACGTTAAATTTGGCCCCGTATCAAGGAACATTTGAGTTGCCAAGAAGCATCTTTGCTTTTTTCGCGTTGAATTTTTGTAAAGTTGGCATACATATTTTCGGTTTCAAGAAATTTATAATGGAGTAACTCTTTACATACACGGAGTTCCCCACGATCCCACAAAATAAATAAGTATAATATGTAGAAAAGTACTAACTTTGGAGAAATTGTGGCGTCAGGTAATTTACATATGTCGAAATTGTAACTAAAAATGCGTAGGTATGCGTAAGTGATCCTCTCCGATTTGACCCTACAAATTACAAATTTTAAATTGCTCAAGCACAGAAATAAGTCAACCCAAACGGTTAGGTTTTCTTGAATGGGCCCAATTTCCCTTTTAACTTAATTTTTGAATGAAGTTTCAGCTAAAATCATGATTTTGCATATTAATTAAAATTCGAAAGTCAAACTATTAAAATTAAAAATTACACAGTATGTTAGCTCTAAATTCATACAAAAGCATAAGCCAATGAAATTCATACAAAAATAATTGAACATGAAAAACAGATACAGGGTGCCCCATTTATTCATGCGAAGATTTGAGACGCCCGTGCTCACTGGCGGGTAAATAAAATTCAAACTTGAAGCCAAAATCGGGTAGAGCAACTCAAAAAATAGTTTTCTGATTTTTATGTAAACTTATTTTAAAAAGTGCGACCACTGTGCTCACATAAGGCAGAGGTACTATGTACATAGTGAAACATTTTTCCAGCCGATTTTCCTCAGGAATCGTTATGAAACGGAGCTTAAATTATATTCACATAAAAAAATTAACAATTAATTTATATAATGGTGCATGGTAGACATTTTAAAATTAAATCCAATAGTCTAACATCGTTATCACTTTCGAAAAACTACCCCCTGCTAAACGCCCGAAAAAGCTGAAAATTTGGTTGGGCCACTTAACCCATCAGAAAATTCCCGAATCCCAATGCAGCATGGTCAAACTGTTAAAACGCAATGGACCAATTATCCCGAGACTAATTAAAACTGATTTGGGAAGGATTATAGCAAAAATGTCCTATGTAGGTCTGCGCATTTAGAAACCACAAACTTTTTTCGGCTTCCTGTTGAGAAAACTCAGCAGTGTGCAAAAACGGATGACGATGATTTTGGTCCTGCAGTCCTAAAAAAATCAAGAAACTTCTTCTTAGTCATCCGACATTGACCGTTTAGTTTTTTCAGGATTTTTCATCGTGACACAACAACTTTTATACTGAAGAATTTACGATTTCTGACGCACTTTGGAACGCTTAAAATAATTAGTCAAAGAAAATCACCCTAGAAAAGTGCCTGGAAGTATTTTTATCGGGTAAATAGCGATGCGTTCTTAAAGTTAAGAACAGGGGCCGTCATATCGAGCAAGTTTCACACTTAAAAAGCGCCGCCTGTGGGATAAAAAAATTGTGGAATTTTCGCACGAATAAATGGGGCAACCTCTGTAAGATCTAGCAGCAAACTGTTAGATGTAAAAAAATCTATTGGTGTGAAATATTTTTTTTTGTAAAATCTTCATACACAAAAAAGTCAATTATATCTAGTGTAAAGCTAGCGACCTGGCCCGGGCCCTTGCGGGCTCCGGGCCTGGTATTTGGTACCACTATATACCACGGTTGGTACGGTACTGAAAATTTACCCATTTCAGCTGCCCCATTTTAATATTTCTAGTGGATATTAAGGTAATACTTAAGTTGAGTTTTTTAAGGCTTGAGTCTGTTCTTGGATGCACATGAGGATCAGAGATGAAAAGAGTGACTGTATGGTGACCGAAAACAGGTGCAAGTCTCCGTTATGGGCAGAAGTAGGATGATGCATTCCTGCATGAAACTGGCTTGCACCATAAATAGTTTGCAATATGTGTAAAAAAAATGTATTGAGCGAACTCACATCAACCTTCGCAAATTTATATAACGTCTAACTTTTAGCAAATTTACGAGATTTCACAAAATTTTGGTTTAACCAAAATTCCACAAAATCTCAATTTAAACACTGAAAAAGCTGGGACACGAAAATTCAAATTCAAACCCGTAGAAACGTGCAACGAAGCCTTTCCTATTGGAAAGGGTAACAATATTTTTAAGAGTGGCGTATTAGCCTAGCCATCTCGTAATTATTTTGCATTTGCAGATTTCTGCATTAAAGGCAACGTACCTGCTTAAAAGTTGTGAATAAATAGGTAAACTTGATTTGTATGTAAATATTCTGGTGGTGCATAGAGTCGAGATTCCAATTTGACAGTGATATTTATTATGTATACACTCTTAGAAAACTGGTATTAAATCATTTACTGATGATGGGAGAACATATATGTATGACTTTACCGACCACGATAAGTACGGGCATTACCGTTTAGTAATGATACATAAATGTACCACTCAGAAACAAATTGTCACCAATCCGGTAGGATGTCATTACCAAATCAATACCAGCACGGATTATGCAACTGACCCTACCAGATTTTTTAGAGTGTACATACACGTTTTCATAAGTATAAATACCGTATCTTACCACAATAATAGTTATGTATGTGTTCAAGTTATTTAACCCACCTCTAATTTATACACCTATTTACGTATGCAGATACGATATGAAAGAAAAACCAATTAATTTCTCATGCTGCCGATTTTACATGCATTGGAGACGCAGAGAGATGATGCTTCATTTCAGCTCGAGAGACAAAGTGGTGCTTAAACTGTGCGATATGTTGACGGGGCCGGGCACACAGCATGTGGCGTATTTGAGCACGTTGCAATATAGCTAAATACCTAATTTCTTCTTCAATTTAGACATCATATTGTTTGAACGAGAGATTTCGAAAGGTAGCTTGTTTATATACAACGAATAACATCCATCGTGCACGGCCCCGTCCTCAGCCGGGAAGCAGCTGAGGACAAAATGAACAAAACAAAATACTCACAAATCGCACTGAAATAACGGTTTGACATTTTAAAAAATTAAGTAAATATTTGCCCCCTAAACTGACTTTTAATTATTTTAATGTGTCTACGTCGACTTCATCGTCACAAAAGCGACACCCACGTTAATACTATAATAATTCTGCGGTAATTTAATTTCGGTGGGTGGGTGCAGATCTAAATTTTGTCACAGTCATTTTACCTCAGGTATGGGCACAAACTTGTCTATTTTCTAAACACCAGAACTAAAACCGTAATTCATTTTAGCATCTTTCTCTACACCTTGTATCAAAAATACGATCGAGTGGACAAAATCCGGTGGGAAGGGGGGGGGGGACCTTTCATTAAGTTTTCGGCGGAAGTTGGCTTCTGTAAAAACATGGAGAAGGTGGACCAGATCGTGATTAAGGAGGAGGAAGAGGAAGACGATGGCGAAATTGGCAGGCGGATTAACGACGACGGTGCTTATGGAGAAGTTGAAGGTATTAAATTCACGGTTGGATGTTTAATAGGATTAATTAAATTAAATACGATTAATTACATTTATTCGCGATTAAAGTTGGTGTGTCGTTTGTTTATTTTAGGGAAGAAGGACTGGGTTAATTTTGATGGGGCAACGTCCATGAAAGTAAGAAGATGGAGAGATTTATTAGATACACAGTGTATCATACACTCTTAAAAATCGCGTTACCCTTGCAAAACTGAATTCAGTATTGAAGTACCGTAAAACCTCTATTTATAGCCCTATTCTAATTATAGCCGGTCTCCAAATATAGCCGGGTCTAAAGACCAAGATTTCAAAATTTTAGCCGGGTCTCTAATTATGGCCTATCTTGTCTGATGTGTCCCCGTTCATAGCCAATTCAAGAAAGATGTTGCCCCTTATGCTGATAAACGAATAAATTGAACTACTAATTTTTGCCTATTAATTTAATGTTAATAATGGATATAATCATGACAGAAAATTTTTAAAAAACTGCTAAACCTCGTTTAAGGATGTGGATTTAAAGTGAATGGGTTGCTGATGAAAATCTTGCTAAATAAGAAAACTCAAGTTGAGTCAGCATGATTTTGTAACATCTAAAATTTTGGGCGGAATAAAATTTAACCAGGTCTCTAATTATAGCCGGTCTCTAATTGTAGCCGGGTCCGTGTCCCTCAGTTTTGGATTTTAGCCCCGGCTATAAATAGAGTATCTACGGTAATTATACTAATTCTAGACTAAAATTCTCTCATTTACAAGTTACCGTTGCAGTGCAGTTGATTTAGGGGACATCCGTAAATTATGTTGCACAAAAAAAATTGCGAATTTCTAGACCCCATCTCCCACATTGGAGCTTTAGACCCCCCCCCTTCACCCTCTCGCCTGACATAATTTATGCCCGGCCCCTTAGTATAGCTTTCTTCATTTCGAATTCAGAAGGGTCGCATTATTTTTCAGAGTGCATTTGATTGACGAAGTATTAATTAATTGTGTTTGCACAAATTAATTTATTTCTGAAATGATAGGAATTGGATTGCGAAACTATAGTTAAAGTCGAAGGTGTGGCTGAAAATCAGGAGGCGGAAGATGTCTGTCCCATGCTCCACTTTGAAGAGGACTTTCGTCTCGGGGAGGAGATTTATCCCGAGGAGGACTTATCCGAAGTGGGGGAGGATCCGTTAAGGATTGGATCCGACCTGGGTTTCCATTCTTCTGCGATGGATAATAGCCAAGATAAGAAAGCCATAAAACGGAGCAAGACACTTGTTGAGGTTGTTCGTAGTAAAAGGCTTCAAGGTGGACAAGTTGAGGTTCAAGAGAGTGAGGTAATTGGTACAATATCGGATTCAATTTTGGGTATAGTTTTTTAGTAATTTTTGTTAGCAGTGTTGCATTTCAATTTCTGTGGGTTTGAGTAGCGTAGCACTCTGAAGAGCGAAAGAAATGCAGGGTGTTAAATCCGGTTGGAAAGTGCGCCATCTAGCGATGCGAGGAATAGCGGGGCGTGGTTTCTTGGACCTTGTATTTTTTAGCAGATCAAAATAGCTGGAAAACACTTTTTTGCAATTTGTTCTTGCAAGTGGTTACAACATACTTGCACCCGAAAGAATGAACAAATTTTGAACTTTCGACGTTAGTTATAAATTGGTGGCGTTTTTTAGGAAGTTATTATTTTGATGAAAACATTTCTAAATTAAATCCAATTTTAATCCATTTAATCCAAGCCAATTAATTCATCTTATCAAATTACAGGTTTCCTCTCCCCCAGTAAAATCTACCATTGTCCCAAACCCCCAAAAACAAGATGAACCTTCCTACATCACCCCCGCCGAGTACACGCCCTCCTGGACCTGGCAAGACTTCCTCACCTGGCGAACCTCCCTGCTCGACGAGGGCATCTCATCCCCAGAAACTATCCCTCCTTTAACCTGGCTGGTCAACACCTACAAAATCTCCGCCTTTCCCTGCCCCCGCTGTACCCGATTTTACCACACCTTCGGCACGTGGTTCCGCCACGAGGCGCCCTGCGAAAAACGGTGCGCCCAACCCGGTCACAAATGCCCCGATTGTGGCTTCAGTTTCACGCAGGGTAGATTCCTGGAAACGCACGTGCGCCGATCCCACATGCCCCTCGAGTTCTTAACGTGTACCGGATGTGGGGTAATTTTCGATGAGTTGAAGGCCTTCAACGAGCACGTGGCCAAGGAGAGCACGTGTCTGGAAAAGGCGATCCTGTGCAAAGGGCGGGGTTGTAAGAGGAGGGCCTATTTCCAGACGAAGGAAGCCTTCGAACTGCACGAGAAGACTAAACACTGCCCCAAGGATTTAAGACCCTTCGTGTGTGAAAAATGTGGAGATAAGTTCTCCTCGACCGGGATACTGAAGGACCACGTGGGTAAAAAACACATGTCTGAAAGCGGACACGTGACTCCACAGCGCGACATTTCATCCGCCGGCGCACGTCCTCCGCGCACCTACTCGCGCGCTGTCAAAAAAGCAGCGGAAAAGCCTCCCGATTACCGTTTGCCGCCGTGCGACTACTGCGCTCACGGCGGGCGGAGCGCGCTCCACTATAAAGATGCCCACCACGACATGTGCGTTTTTGACGTGGGGCCGGATGGGTCCGAGGTGTTGCGCGGGTATCGCTGTCCGCGAGAAAATTGTGACCGCGAAGGAAGGCTGCTTGTGGGCATTAGCGCGATGGCGTATCATATGAAGGGTGATTGCAAAATGAAACGGAAAAAAATTAGCTAATTTTTGAAGTTAGGATGGAAAATTTTTAGTAATAAATGTGGATGAAACCAACATTTCCAAAATTTGTGGTAAAATTTCGGACTACATGAAACGATACTGTTATTTATTTATGCATCACAGCTTATTCATGAATGCAACTTGAAATTGGGAAAATCCGAGAAATAAGAATTAATCAGAAATGGGGGCGCAAATCATGTTCAGCCCTGATTATTTTTAGTCTCACATCCACCTTTCATCCGTCATGAGACAAGCTATTTGCATCCACAAGCCGGATTGATGCAAAAACCTTCTTTGACACTGTCTGATTTATTTAAATTAGGCAATGTCAAAGAAGGTTTTTGCATCCATACTTTAAAGTAAAGACACCAATTTTGCTTTGTGAACATCTGTCTTTCTTGAATTCAGGGCTGTTCAATTACCAATGGAAGTAATTAATTCCTAATTCTTAATTACTCCGACTGCGAAAATTGGAATTAAGTACTAATTGCAAATACGTCTTTGTCCAGTAATTGAACTTAATTATCAATTACAATTACTTTGCAAGCAAGTAATTGATTTTCAATTCCCAATTAGTAATTGAAAGTCAATTACTTAATTAGTAATTACTTAATTCTCATACTTAAGACTAATTAAACGCTATTTAAAGGCTAACTTTCGACCAAAAATTCATTTCCGAATAGGATAAAACTTTTATAAATATCTTGGTACAGCAAACAGTTCATCTTATATGATCCAAAAGTTTAAAATTGCTGTGGATCTTTACTCCAGATAGATAATGGCCTTTTCTTCCCACAATTACAACATTAAAATTGTTAATGCGTACATTTCTACCCAATGTATTTTATCTGAATCTGACTAACGAGATTGCTGAAGTAATTTTTGCAGTCCATGGAACACAGGTGGTTGAAACAATTGTAATATAAAATTGTACTAAGCTTGAAGTCCAAAAGCTGAATGGGAATGATGACCAAAGCGTTCACAACGAAAGATATTTACATAATTCGAGTTCTTCTGGAGAGGGAGGCTTGTCGTATTTCATTCCAAGTATGTTCGATTAAGTAATTGATCAAAGTAATTGAGTACTCAATTACTAATTACTACTTGGCAAAGTAATTAAGTACTTCCAATTTTAATTACTCCAGGTCCTCCAAGTACTTAATTACTTTGACAAATACCGGAGTAATTGAAATCAATTACCAATTACTAATTACTTCAAGTTCTGTAATTAAGTAAGTAATTAAGTACACAAGTAATTAAGTACCACAGCCCTGCTTGAATAACTTGTTTCGAGCTTTAAAATTTTGAATTAGATTTTCATGAAGTTTTTCAGCACCACACGCAATGCACATTTTGAGACAGTGGCGGATGAGTCTGTGTCTGACTACGGATTCACAGCCTGCGTACGGGAACCCGGAGGATCCGCCACTTCGTCAACAAACTGCATTTGATATACTCTGCCCACGAGGGACTGTGCAGAAAGCATGTGAACGACTTGAGGGAGTGGGGTAGGGGTCAAGGTACGCTATCCTTCCCATGTTAATTATAATATGGGGCACGTAGGTCACACCGGGGGGAAGGGAAAAAATTTCGGCGAAAATCGATCATATGCTTTATGTACGGCCCCCCATTGAATGTCAGTTGGCCGGCTAATTTTCTTCCCTCGTTTTCCATGAAAAAAACCAGATCATTCCTCACGCACGACCCGCTTTTCTCCTTTCACAACATATAACTCGATCATCTGCTCAACCGCTAAAAATTCTGAGGCCACTCCCAGAGCCCCGGCTTAAATATCAGCTTAAGCTAATCTTTATTTGAGCGCGGTTTAAGTCCATTTTTTGGAACCGTCCCAGAGCCCTGATCGGATTATTTTTGGATTGGCTCAACTCAACTTTTGGCTTAAACCAGTCTCAACTTTTCATGAGACTAAATCCTGCCCGACCATAGCTCCAAAATCATTTTCTCCTTGTTAAAACGACCTGCCCATTCCAAATTCATTATCAATAACAAAAAGGATCTCCACTATCAAACCTTATTCTGTCAACGTAAGTAATTATAATTTACCTTCTCTCTTTAACAATAACAATTATATATACACGTTTCTCCCCCACAGGTTGCAACGTGACCACCGTGATCAATCTCGCATTCACTGCTAGACAAGTAAGTCGATTTAAAAAAAATTAATGGTCCTCACTCATAATTAATGGTGGTGACACATTTGTTTAGATGCAGTACTCAATTGGGGCCAGTGAAAAGCATGCAGAAGATAGTTCTTTATAAGAAATTAATTGTTACAGTAGCTGAAGAAGCAGCCTTATCATGGGTGGACTGAGACCGTATATAATAAATTGTTCTTCATTAACGATTGCATCATACAAATGAGTTCTCAAGCTTTCTTTATTTGCATTCAGAACAACATGTACTCAAACATGGGACTGACTTAGATAAATCTAGTCGTCACTCATAGATAGGAAGTGGCCCGTTCGTGACCTGTGACCAATGATTGATGTATGTAGAGCCCATACTTGAAAACATAAATCAACACTTTCGTCACCTCGATAGGTCAATAGAGGTCTATCTGTAAAAAAAAGTGAGGGAGAGTGAGTCACGGCCAAATTTTGTGTCAAGACCACAATTTCTAACCTGTCGGAAATTTGAAAGAAGGATCACGTAGATCAATACCACCGGGAATGCTATTTAGGAGCTAAAATTGATTCACGTGCTTATGAAGTGGCGATAACAGCTGTAGCGATCAGTCCTAGTAAACAAGTTATAATAATGAGAATTCGAAAACTGATAACATCTTAAATAAAATGATAAAATCGATACTTCCAATTACTAATTTTTCTTACAAACGTGCCTCATTTTTTCACTGCTTATTAAATTGCCCTTGCAGCGTATAGTTGTGGTGTTTCCAAAATGCACCAGTAAGAAACGTAGGACTGTAGAAACAAGGGACCGTGGTAATTATTTTCCCTTCAAGATGATGATAAAGTTTGATAAGCTCTCTTGCGCTCCAAGCTGGCGCACCACCCTAGCACACTATAATGTTCCCTTATATCACGTTCACTTAGTCTCTCAAATGTTTGCCTTCTTTTATATATTTGTCTTCTAATTGCATTCGGTAGGAATAAAGGCACTCCCATATAAAGGAGTCACGACTGCAATAATTTGCAAGTCAAGGCCCGGTGGAGACTCAAGGGCGAATCACTTGTTCGTCACTCGGAGGAATTAACTTGTAATTTTAGTTGAGTATGCTATAGCATACTCAAATAAAATGTTAAAAAATAGTTCCAAGTAAAATTGAAGTATTTACTTGTGAGCTAACAGGTGAGAGAAAGAGAGAGATTTGGACTTACGACTAGTAAATAGCAGTCGCAGCATTTTTGGCTTAGTTTTGGTCGTAAGTTTTTCTCTCGACACCATTTCAATCCGTGTCCAGTGCCCCGGCTCAATTTCGGATCTGATTAGATTTTAAGCGGATTTTAACAATGGAAAAAGTTTAAACTTTTTTCTGGGACGGAAAAAAATCGGATTATGTTTAAGTCGATTTTTTTTGGCTTAAGCGGGGCTCTGAGAGTGGCCCCTGGACACATCGTGCAATATCAAATATATTTTTAAGCACAAGCCTTTCCATTAATTGATTAATTAATTATCTGGTTATACCAAAACTACTTTGCAGTCCACATGGATTTGGTAGCCCAACGCGTGGAAAAGTTGTCCCAACAACTCAACATTTTGCAGGAATATATCGAACTGAAATTTGGTAATACAAAATTATTATTAGTTTCTAATCATTTAAATTAAGCTTCTCATTTTTTAAATCGTGCCTAACTTTTTGCGAAACTTAAGTCGTGGTCCTTGCACATTTTAGAAGTTAAATTGTATACTTGTTTTATTTGCGATTAATTAATGTACAATGCACATTGTACATAAATTACGTACGTTTTGTACACATTTTACATTTTTTTTTAAATGAAGAGACGCCTTGATCGGAGCAAATTTTTAAAAAAATTGGCAGCTATTTAGTTTTCGTTCAAAATTAAATTTGAATACAATTTTCAAAATTGTACGAAATTGAATTTTATACGTTTACATAATTTACGGGTTTTACAAGGTTACCTATGCGAATTGTTTCAAAATATGATTTGCTAATTAGTTAATAATATTTGCTTCATTTCGTGCACAGGGACGGATTTCAAAGAGTTTAAAAACTCTAAGGAGGTCCTCCACCCCATAAAAACAGAAGTCGTCGTGACGGAGGAGGATCATCATTCTTCGCCGCCAGCAAACACCACCACGGGGGATGAGGGGGCGACCAATCTGACCTCTGACATCGTCACAACAAATGCAGGCGGAATAAAGCAGGAAGTCGACAGTCGCGACGACGGCTACCCCCCAATTTCCACGGCCCCCGTCGTCCAGGTCAAGGTGGAACCGCCTGATTTCTCGCAGTCGTACCCCCACACAGCGACCCCAGGAGTGCACAAAAACAGAAAAGTTGCAAACATCCGCTACGGTAAAAAAAACGGAGTAAAATCAACTAATTTTAATAATCTGTCTTCCCAGGGCTGTTTGTTACACCCACAAAAAAAGACGAAAATCCACGTGGAGAAGGCAACAGTCACAGGAAAATACGTGTTTTGTGGCGAAATTAGTTTTACGTCGCTCATAAAATACTTTGTTCTTACGATTTTTTAAGAAACAAAGGATTTTGACATTGATAACAGGTTAATTTCTTTACAAAACCTGTATTTTCGTAAAATTTGTGTAATCTCCATGTGGATTTTCGTCCTTTTTTAGTGGGTGTAACAGGCCAGAAAATCGGAGCTTTTTAACTTTGTCTAGTCAACGACCTTATTTCTGACTAATTAGCAGACCTCGGCTAAATATTTATTTATCAATCTCTCCTCATGTACATAGTTCAACCTGAGTATTATTAAATAAATACTTAGCCGAGGTATGCAAATTTAATATTACTGATACTTATATTAGGTGGACGGGTGACCTCACACCGCGGCATTCCACCCACCAGTCTACTCCCCCCCTTCCCCACATTCACGCGCCCCCCGGGGTCAAGACGGCGCAAAAGGCCGGCCTATTATGCTTTGCCGCCGTGCGACTACTGTCCTTTCGGCTGGCGGAGCCCGGCGCATTATAAAGATGCCCACCGCGACATGTGCGACTTTTCCGTGGGGCCGGATGGGTCCGAGGTGTTGCGCGGGTATCGCTGTCCGCGAGCAAATTGCGACCGAGAAGGCAGGCTGATTGGAAGCATTTACTCGATGGGGAAGCATATGAAGGGTGACTGCACAAGGAAACGGAGGAAAAATAGTTATGTAAATCCATATTATAAGGTGAAAATGTCTGTCAAAAACGAAAGTGAAAGGAATTTCGGTTCTGATACGGGGCAATTACTTTTACCTCCGACAAACATTTCCAGCTAATTATATATGTAGATCTACATATGTAGATAATTAATTCGGTGGATTTAGGCACAATCCCAATTTAAATTTGCATGCAAATTAAATTAGTTCCCGGGAGACGGGCTTATACGCTAGTAAATAAATAAATAAAATAAATATTCATATTCCTAAATTATTAAATTCATAATTTATGATTTATAAATTAAGAATTTCGGATGTAAAATTTTGTAAGTGTTTCATAAAATAAGTTTGTTCAATTCTATTATGTAACGATACATTACTGTATTTATTAAATTAAAAAGTTAAAGTTAAAGTTACAATTACTTGTAAAATAAAATATTTAACGAGGCTGACAAGGGAGTAAGGGGCTGTTCATAAATTATGTAACGCCCAGAGACCTCCCTCTCGAGTTACGTAATTTATGAACGGCCCCTAACACATAAATTGGCTGAGTGGGACTCTAATTCCATTTCAGGTCGCGCTTTTTCTAACCCGTTATGTATCCTGAGGTTTCAGGATAACTTTTCAAATTTAAAAATTAATGGCTCACGCATATTTTGGTACAAAATATTGAATCTGAAATTGTTTCCCAGTGACTCCAGTACCATCACTATCTTTAATCAATTATCTTGGTAAGTAATTATGCAAAATTACAATTATATATTATATTTTTTGTTGGTTACAATTTTATTTTACATAAAAGCCTAATGTCATCATGTCTGCTTGTCCCCTGCAGCTACGATTCTGCAGTTTCCAAATTTCATGACATTTCTGGTCGCAGCCAGCATAACGTGGTGCGAGCTGAAATGGAACTCTGATTTATTAGCATACGTCGGCTATGAATAAAAAATTACTTCTTCCATTTATTGACCTACAGTCGCCAAACTTTCTGAGAATGTTTACGGTCACTAGTAGGTCACGCAGGTTAAAGCATATTTTCTCATATTGGTCATATTTTCAGGTTTTGGGACATATTCATATTCCCGATCATATTTCTGGGTTTTTTCGTTCATTTTATCATTTTTGGCCAAATTCGAAGATTTGGCAACCAAATCGACAGAAAATGACAAAAAATTCAGTTTTCTCACAATGATTCATTTTGAGAAACTTTCAGAAATTTACGTTCACTTTCGCCTCAGGTGATTTAATTCATTGGGAATGCATTAAATCACCCTAGAACTTGTTTATTTGATAAAAAATGAGCATTACAAGAAAATATATCAAAAAATTAAGCCAAAAATTAAAAAAATAAAGTCATTTTTATGGTCATATTTTGAGGTTTTATCGGTCATTCATATCCGACGTCTGTTTATTAAGCTTAGTACTCACGATGGACTTTACGCGCGGAAAATGACTTTTGCAGAAATTCTGCTCAATTTAAGCCCGAGTGGTACTCAGCTCTTCGCGTGAAACTTGGGCGGAATTTTCCGCGCGAGCAGTTTTCGCTCAATGTAAGCTCAAAGTTTCCGTTAAATCGAGGCAATTCTTTCACGTGAAATGTGAGCGGAAAGTGACTCGCGCCCCTCTGAGTCCAAAATAAGAGGGCGGAGCAACCTCAAAATCTCATTTTCAACTCAATGACAAGGCGGCTAATTTAAAATGGGGCAAAGTGAAACCTGTTTTTCAGCTCAAACGACCTGAGTACCTACGATTGAAAATTGAGCGAAATATACGTGGAATAGTGGTATTTTCTGCCCGCTTACGAATTTCTCTCCAGCGAAAAATTTAACAGAATTTAAGCACGATGAAATTCCGCGTGAACATTCGTCCTGAGTACTAGGCTTTAGACGGGAACATGCTTCATACTCACGCACACGATTCCGCTCTCTGCTTTCACAATTCACAAAACAGAACTAGATCATCTGCTCACGCTCACGCTTACATTCACTCTTCAACAAAATTGTGCAAAATATTTAAACTTTTCGCAATAAAAAAATAATTAACCACTGGTTAACACAAATTTGCTCCCAAATGGATACGGTATCCCACCACGTGGAAAAGTTGTACCAACAACTCAACATTTTGCAGGAATATATCGAGCTGAAATTTGGTAATAAATTAAATTTGGTAGTAAATTTACTTAAATTAAGCCAACCTTGCTGTTCTGCATGTATTTTTCGTAAATTCAAATCGTGCAGGGTGTCTATTTTCAAAATTAAGGAGGACATTTGTTTATCAGAAGAGCAAATTGTTTCAAGCCAATTAAGAATTTGTTTCATTTCATTTCCTCCACAGGGGCTGATTTTAAAGACTTTGAAAACTTTAAAAAGATCCACCCCACGAAAGGTAAAGTCGTCGTGACACAGGATCATGTGACGACCCGATTTGACGCCAGTTTTCCATCCCCAGCAAACACCATCACGGGTGACGAAGGGGGGACCAATCTGACCTCGGCCTGGGAGAGGAACATCGTCATCACAAATGTCCGCGGAATAATGGAAGGAAGATCAGAATGAAGTCGAAAGTCAGGACCACGACGACCCCCCAATCCCCACGGCCCCCGTCCAGGTCAAGGTGGAACCGCCCGATTTCGCTCCATCGTCACACCCACCTTCACCGCCAGCCGTGCAAAAAAGTGGAAAAGCTGCAAACATCCGCTACGGTAAAAAAAGACGGAGAAAAATTTATTAATTATGTTTAATTGGTGGATTTACAGTATTTCGAGCTCAGATTTTCCCTGAGTTTGTACATATTTATTTCTATGGGCGTTTAACCCACAAAAAAACAAGAGAGAGGGCCGCAATCAGACAAAAATCCTAATTTTTTTAACAAAATTAACTTTTAATCGCGTCAAAATACCTTGTTTTAAAGTGTTTAATGATTAAATTTTAATCGCAATGAGAAGTTACTTTCTAAACAAAACCGCGTGAGTTCTGTCTTCTCCAGGCACATAAATCGTCGTGTGAGCCAAAGATTTGGGCCCGAAATATGTGTGTACCCACCTCCGAAAATAATTCCCAAATCGACAATATTATTCTTAACTAAGCTTATAATTCCGTAGGCGGTCCGGTCATTCCACACCGCGGGATTCCATCCGCCGTGCGCACCTTCACCCGGCGCGGGTCACGGTGGAGCCCAAAGCGGCGAAAAAGACCGGCCGATTTACCCGCCTGTGACTACTGCAATACTGGTTGGCGGAACGCGGCGCACTATAAAGAAGCGCACCGCGACATGTGCGCTTTTGACGTGGGGCCGGATGGGATCGAGGTTTTTCTAGGGTACCGCTGTCCGCGAGCAAATTGTGACCGAGAAGGCAGGCTGCTCACGACCCCGATCGCTGTGACGAATCATATGAAAGGAGACTGCAGAATAAAACGGAAGCCCATTAGCTAATTGGAGGGCGAACTAGGGTGTAAAATTTTGAAAAATTTGCCAAGAATTTTACAAAATTTATTTGTGTGTGAAGTAAATTACGCACGATTGTAATAAATTGAGTGTTATTTATTAATAAATTTGATTTCGGGTGTCAAACTTGATTTGTCTTGTCTTCTCCACATAATGTCTTACCGAACCCGCTAGAATTGTTAGGTGTCTGTCTGTTTGTCGTCAGAATAGGTGGATAACTTATCCTGCCGTGGTAAAATTTTGCTTGCAGATAAATAATGGGCCTCCTCAGACACGAAAAAATCGTCGCTTTGAAAAATTATGACAATTGCAAAATTTTGTTCCGACGTCAGCTAACCTACCTTAACCCCATTTCCGAATTGACATTTGGTGTTTCCGATTGTCAGATACCAACGGTGCTATAAATTTATGAAAAAATGGAGCAGGGACATTTTAATTAGCATCAATTGATGCAAAAAGGTCGTTAACAGACAGACGGACAGACGGACGGACAGGAGGAATTTAATAGCTCTCATGCTACGCAGGGTGAGCTAATAATTAAAAGTAACGGAAGCGTGAATAATACTTCCATATGTAAATATGTACCGAGGACACGACAAAGGAATGAATGAAAGGAATAGGAACCCACATTTTCAATAATTATGTATGTATGAATTTCTCATCCATCATTTTTCTCTTCACGTACGACGGGGTAATCAGGCAGAAAATTAGTGCCAATCGGGGAGAATACATTGTATATGCAAATTTCAATCTTTATGGAACTTTATATTTAAATCGTAGTTAAGCCATAGCCAGACTGTTGGCACCTTATCAATTAATGGCGACACCCTCTGTCGTAAGGGGGAATACGAACATTTAATTATATACGTCGGCTACGTAACGTGATGTACTATTTGTGCGCGTTTAGAGTATGCAAATCCTGTCGACGACAGGGCTCGATAAGAGAATGGATGATACATACATAAATATTCAGAGAGCGAAGGTTATCCACATACATAAAAGATAACAACGAATGGTACTGATAAGGAAGACGAGACGTGTGGCTCATTAATTATGTACATATCTGGACTGGAATTGAGCCTGACTTTTGCACATATTTGACAGGCACGTATTCACGACCAGGATTGGAAAATGAAATGTTAAATGCATGCAATTTTCCAGATACGTTGGCAACAACAAATTACACATGCAAATGCTGAGGTCCACACTATTGTTCATTATGTAAATATGTATGTCGCATCGATCAGTTTTTCCTAAACGGACAGGACAAAATAGGTTAGTATGAAGATTCAAATTATTGAAGGAATAATGTGAATAATGCAAAAACCATGGAAAGAATGATGGCACCGTTCTTATCAATTTATCGCTACTCGCTTTGTCGCATGGATAACGTGTGTATGCCAAACGAGAGGCTGCACAAGATAATTTTGACCGTGGGGATGGACATATTATACTTTGTATATTTCCCAGCTTAATGACTGTAAACGTCAATTTTTTTAAGAAATAAATTGGGATTTGAAAAAAAACATGTTTGTTCTCAAAGCGAAATTTGAAAGTTAAAAATACAAAATTTTGGGAAAGTTTAAGAACACCAAAGTCTATATGCATAATTGCTACGAAATGAATTTCATGTTTGAAGGGGACGAAAAAAATGCTGTAGCTTCCGCGGTCACGATGGAGGATTGCATTTAAATCATTACAGCCACATTATGCACGAAGAAACCATATTAAGCGAAAAATTTGTCAGTCGGTCTGTCTGTCCGTCCGTTTGTCTGTCTGTCTGTCAGCGGGAGAATGAGATCTTATGCATATGACCCCAGAGGGTGAGGAGTTTTTGGACTCGGTTCAGAACATCCTGGTCGAGATCACAATTGGCAATTTTATTTCCTCATCTTATTGCTACATACATACGTTGCTTTGCGAAATACGTTTTATTATTTAATCATAAGAGTAAATCCTGTCGGCGGCAGGCTTCGATAAGAGATTGGATGATACATAAGTACAAATATTAAATGTATGTAGTTTGAGTCATGTGTATGTAGTAACGAAGTGGGGAAAACGTTGGACAATGAGCTGGAACCTGTGCGTCACATCCTGCCACGAGTGACGGAGGGATTACTCTTCACGGCCTGACTCTTAAGTGAGGCTATAAATCATAAGTTACCTTATCGCAGAATGATAACGCTGTGTCGCTTCAATTTATAAGTGAATCTCGTAACTAGTCGAGACCTCAGTGTCGTCCCAAGTTTGTAGGTATTTACAAGTTTTCTGCAATTAATATCCCCCAGTTTTTCGCGTTATCTTTTTGTTTAGTTGAAAAGGAAAATTTCATTTTAAGAAAATGGCTAACGGACCTGTTGTGATTAAGGTGGTTGCGTTGGTAAGTAACAATTTATTTTTGACGTTTTTTTTTATGATAGATATTTATCCAGCATGTGTTACGAGGAGTTTGGTAAAATTCGAAAATTAATTGGTTTTTGGTAAATTTGAGATTTTCGAAATATGCAATTGTTACTGCCAGGCTGGATTTATGCAGCCAGATTTTTCATGTGATCACTTTCCGTTAAGCGTGCCTGGGACAGTGAATTTCTAAAAAATGATGTTAAGGGGTCTGTTTTTGAGAAAATTGGAACGGATCCGTAATTATGTGGAGAAACCCATTCCCCACAAAATTACGGATCCATTTTCCATTCTGTCCAAAAAATGAGCCCTTAACATCATTTTTTAGAAATTATTTTTTTGTGCCTGTGTCCCAGGCAGCCTTAAGCGAAAAGAGCAAACTACTTAACTACATTTCAGAATGCATCTGGCAACAGGAAAAAAAATTAACCTAGAACAATTTAAGACTTGTTCGTAATAAATACGAGGCATCAATTTCACTAATGGGCCATCCATTTATTACGTCATCAGAAATTCTCGATTTTAGCACCCACCCACCCAACGTATACATAGGTACATTAGTCAAGGTGAATTTTAACATGGGAAAGATATTCGGCCCTAAACCATCCACACACGAAGATAATGACTTAATATATGGACGTTCCCTATGTGTTATATTCTGGTTACAAACTTTCTCCCATTTTTGTGCAGGTTGTTCTCTTCGTCGCAACCGTGGTGGGATGTCACGCTCATTTCAACAACGCCTTTAAGGACGCCTGGGACATGGACGGGTATCCAGAATTGTGCAAACTTGTGGACACGTGCCCCAAGTCCGCCATGCCAATGGAGAAAACCTTCGTCGCCTTGACGATCATTTGTCTCATTTTGTCCACGATCAGTTTAGTGGCAGGGTTTTTGATGGATATGAAAAAGTTTAAGGGACCGGTGAGTAAATTTGTTAAGGTGTCATACATACATAAGTTTGAAATGCCGCATAACGATACTTTCTTAAATTGATGATATTTATTTATTGTCGGAAAGTTTATGCATTTTCGCCGCTTTTGCTGTAATTTTACATTAAATTGTTGCATTGACAATTTCCATAGTTTGCAATCAATTGTGCAAAAAATTCTTGTTAAGCGAAGTTGTGCGAAATTTATGTGCGAAACATCGCGCAGAAGATTTTGCAGAACGTTGGATCCATTTTACCCAATTTTTCGGTAAAATGGTCACCCTAAACTTTCTTTAAAAGTTTTTTTTTACAAATTCATAGATTAATTAACATCGTCATCTTTAATTATAGTTCGACCGTATTTACATTTAGCTTCAAACAAATGTATGTAATTGATTAAAAAGTACTGCTTGTTTTGATCGGACTCTGGTATGCGTCTACATAAATACTGCTATCGTACCAAACTCACGATGCATGTACAACGTGCTGTTGGGTAAATGAGCAGTATTTAGCACGTACATAATTGTTTATTTAGGAAATTTAACAGCGTGTAAATTGTGCAGGACGCCGGATATCACGTCTTGGCCGGGGTACTTCTCTTCATCGCGGGAATTCTCCTGATCGTGGCCGCCGTGAAGATTGACGAATTCATTCTGGATGGCTTGGATCAACTCGGGGGTGGTGGCTTTGGTACCTCCTCGTCATCCATCTCCGCCGAAGGCAAACTTTTGTCCTCTTTTACATCCCCGCAAATGGCAAAAGCTCTTCCAGATGAAATTAAAACCGAGGCGAGGAAACAGTTGAAATTTTACAATAAATTGGCTGGAGGGGTAAGTTGGGAGAGTGCATGGCTGGAAGTGCTAAAAAGTGAAATGTTTTTTAATACAATTGATTTGTTTTTGTAGAGTTTGGCGATAATTGATGGAATCCTGTATTTCGTGGCGGCTGGATTAATTGCTAAACAATAAAGCATTCTTATTGTTTTAATTACTGAATTTTGTTAAGATGCGTGTAAGTATGTATGCATGTATGCCGAATAGAGCATCCTTTTTTAAATAAATAATTTTTTTACAACATATGTACGGTGAATTTAAACATAAAATTCGTGCTTGTATTTAGAACAAAAGTTATAGTCAAGGTCAAGGAATTATAGTTGTTGATTTTATTCTATTGTGCTACTTATTATTGTGAGTTGATGCATCTGTGAAATATAAAGATTCGCACATTTTTAATCATTTCAATCTATGTACATACTAGCGTATAAGCCCGTCTCCCACCGGGCGACAGGCTTATTTGATTTTCATGAAAATTAAGTGGGATTGTTGTCGGGATTCCACCGAATTTTTATAATTGTATCTATATTATTATCTGAACAGTCTGTTGGAAAGGGAAGTGAAACTCTCTCCACTTCCACTTGCGTCACGGAAAATTACTTTCACTTCCGTTGCAGATAAACATTTCCAGTTTATAGTATAGATCCCTGGAAAATGTATTTTGAACCTCTTGACGACAAATTGAAAGTCAGTTTGTAAGAAATATGTATGTATGTATGTTGACTTGACGATTTGTAGAATATTACACTGTTAGAAATCCGATGTAGAATTTGTCAATTGCGTGCAAAATTTCAATTTAATTTGATAATGCATGCCAAGATTATAGCCAATTTTATGTAGCTTGCACGCGAATTGCCAATACTTCTTATACTGACTGTACTGTAAGGTAAATTTTGGTTCATGTTTGGAAAATTCATGGTTTTCCTAAGTTTTAATCAAACAATCTTACATCTTTACTTGCATTACTTATTATTCCGGAGTTTAGTAAGTTTGTAAATGTATTTATAAGTTGCTTTGAAAGGTTGAAGTACATTAGGTAAGAAAATGAGGAAGTTGACTTTCATGCAATTAATATCATATGCATCTACTTAACGCAGAAAATTCTTGGTTTGCACGACATCATAAGAACCATAAAGGACACACAGATGTATGTACAGGGGGGAGTGATAACTAAATGTACATGCATACATTCGTGGTTGAAGGACATTTGTGCATTAATAATAATGACAATTTATGCATAATTCCGCTCTAACAACGCTATACTGTGAAGTGTAATCCTCCGATTTGGTTGAAATTTTAAAATTATGTGGTCCCATTCAATGCAACTATCTTTCCAGGAGGCAGTTTGTGGGATCAATTGTGTGAATTTATCAAAATATTTGAGGTCAAAGTTGAAAAAGGGGCGATTTTTATCAAGCAAAGGAAGTAAACCCCGCTCAAATACCGGCCGAAGGGAAAAATTTTCAAGTTAGACCTCAAATATTTGACTAATTCCCACCATCGCACGAAGTGTCTCCGAAAATGTTACTTCTATTGACTTGGACCACACAATTTTACTATTTTAACTAAATTGGAGGGCTCCACTTCGTACTACCGCATTGTGAGTCAATCCAGGTAATTCAAGCCTTAGAAATCCACCATCGAACAATGCGATGCGATTGTGTGAACTGTAACACTCCGATTTTGTAGCAGTCGAACACAAATTTAATTAGTAGGAGATCTTCAGCAGACACAACATTGTAATTCTCAGTTTTGACAGGAAGGCTTACACACACACACATTTTCAAAGTGCAAAATTTCTCACCTCGCTGGATGAGAATTTCAGTACCAAACGTAACCATTGTTAGACGGTATCTTTTACAAATTTCATGGCACAAGGCCAGATGATATATGTTTCTTACAGTTTCTTGCAGCTCAAATTTCATAGTTTTTCTCTGGAATACAAATGCTAAACCCACCAGAAACGAAATGCATTCGAATTGTTTTTGACGGAATTTACATTTGTTGTCGCTAGATATTCTGGATTACGGGTTGGGAATGGAAATATGTTTAGCCCACCCGGAAATTAATTATCATAATGCACAAACTCTTGAATAGATTAATTATTTAAGAACGAACCTTTAAATACCTGATGTAGCTCCTTCGTTTTTCCTTCAACCGTTAAAAAAATTAAATTCTTTCTGTAAAGCAATATAGACATTTAATATTCACCAGGCAAATGAGCATGATCTGCATGCTTGAGGTTTCGCGAAGCAATAATTTATTATGCTATTTTTAATAAAAAGTAAAACTGCGCATCGCCCTACTTCCTGAGTGCTGAGTCAGCACCCAGGAAGTAGGACGATGTAGTCAGCACTGTTGACCACATGTAGCTCCCTCACTAGTTAATCCAGCCAGATAAACGCGTCTCAATATACAATTCAAACTTTGGGGATCATTGTCCATTTTTGTAAAGGTTGATTTGCATATGTTCAAGAAGATAAAACCAGTCTTGCTGGCAGTTGTAAAAATTATTTAAGGGACATGTATTTAAGATGTTCAGTGGGATAGTGCTATTATATTTTTGAAAGTCAAACACCTAAAGCTAATGAAGAGGAAACATTTCTATGCGTATGCTTTTCACGTTTTTTTCCTCAACTGTTCAAACCGATTAAACACAAATTTTAAATTTGTACATTAACGTTTGGCTTATTAATGCGGAATTGATAGTGTAAACGGGTTAATTTTCTAGCTCGGGTAATATCACAGATAACTTGCTGCAAAGGAATGCTACAAGATTTAATATACGTTGTTTCAAAGTTCAGTAGTACTTCATGTAAATATTTGTAGGACGTGGCCTTTCGTGCGCCAACGAACCTTTCTCCACTCGCAGTAAAAGTTCTAAATATAGGTACAAAGGTAAACATTTACCTATGTATATGTAAGTATTTATAAAAGATTTACCGCTTTATGATGCTTTTATAAATCGTGAACTGCAAATTCATTTAGGCCGCCTGAAAAACGTCTTAAGACACGAATACATAGTTGTAAATTTGAGAAGACAAACAAATTTTATATTGTAAAAAATTGTGCACTTGGCTTTTACGTCAATAAGTAAAGAAGTGTGAAATGTTGTTTCCAAATGATGTGACATTTTCTCGATGTTCCATAAAAATAATCATTGGAAAGGTTATCATGTAGCTCTTTGTATTACTCTAGCTTAACCGGGACTATCCTCCTTGACTTGGTAAAGTTCATAGTTCTTGTTTTGGATAAGAGTTGGACAAGGTATCTAATTTTTCTAGTATAAAATGAATGTTTGATATATAAAATGGGTTATTATTTGCCTAATGTGGCATTAATTTAATGAAACTAGTGCAGGGATGACGGGCGGCAAGATTGAGTCAACTATGTTTTAAGAGTCACATATATATTTAGTTGGCCCTTTAAGTAATCAAAGTTTCTACGTATTTATAAGTGCAAAACTTAATTGTCGGCAACATATTACATGCACTAAAGTTTTAAGTGGAATTATTTGACGGGAATTTGTGCAACTGTGGACAAATTGATGCTCTTCAGACTTCTAGGGTATTTATTGTGTACAAAATGCGTTTCAAAAATTTACGCTTTTCCTATTTATGCGTAACCCTTACTTTTATAAAATTTAGCTATGCAGCTCCAAGCTTTCGTGACCTACTTATTAAGTTAGGCGATTGTGATTTACAAATAATGCATCATACGCATTATCAAAACCAATTGTCTTTGAGGGATTTAAGCTTGGTGAGTACAACTGTCTTCATGCCAAAGTACGAATCGGTTAAACCTGACGTTTTCATGGAAGCGACTCAAGTCCCTGCTCTTAACGTTCTTAAAGGTCGGGTTTCTCCATGTCGACTTAGTTTTATATTTTTACGAGCAGAAACTAAAAACACCATACGATCGTTTCGGTCCCATGTCGACCACTGGATTGAAATTGCATCAAACTACTATCTCTTCTTCGTTGAAACTGACAGGGTATTTAAAAGGTTCAATCCAAATTATTTCATTCCACACACAAGCGCAGTTATTACCTTGGTAATAAATGAAGAACAGTTGCCAGAGTTGGCCAACAGTACATTTTACCAACCAGTGTTTCACCATATGTCAGCTATTGATGTCTCTCCAAATCAAAATTTTGAGTTGTGTTTTCCTCAAGTAAGAAAAATGCTGGACGGGTCACCGGCGCCAATTAATATTACATGCACGTCTGAGATGCATTTGAGTAAGGGCAACTATATTTCTGCCGTTCAAAAGTCGACGAAGTTGTACAGTGTGAAAAGACAGTGTTTGTAGGAAAATCGTCCCTGATTAAATTGGAGTATGAATTTTTATCCAAAAAGTATCCCGACATAAAGTTTTTCATAAGCACTCAAACAGTGCTAAGTTATCCAACTGGTATATTGTTGCAGCACGATTGGGGATCAAGACCGGTTGGCAATACCTTCAAACGTCTAAATGAGGCAGGGATTTTGATTATGACAAAAAAACAGGAATTGAGTACCAAAAATATCAACCGCACTGCAGCTATTTTCATGAAGAAAAGCAAAGATTATAAACCGACAAATATTGCAACACTTAAGGTAACGCTGCCCACGGTGTTTATTCTGGTCGGTGGTTTGATTTGTGTAACAATTCCAGTGTTTGCCATAGAATGCCGGCGCAGTATTAGTCGGGGAACTAAAAGTATACTTCGTGTTATTTTATTCAGGCATTATCGGAAGTCTAAGAGAATGGCGGCTAGGAATATAATGAGTATCGCCGTCGCCGTGTGCGATACAGGAAAGAGCAATTAATGGAGAGAGGTTTAATATATAAGTATGTACATATAGATTTAAATGTCGTGGTAAAGTTACAAGAAATGAAAGTAATAGTAATAATATGTACACCCTTCACAAAACTAACTATAGCAATTAATGGAACCATGCCATTACATCTGCTTTAGAAAGTTCATCAAAAATACATTGCAATTATGAATATTATAATTGTAAGGTTAAATAAATTATGAAAAATTTTCAAAAGTTTGCAGCGCTTGGGTTCGTGCCTGCTTGTTTCTTCGTCTTAGATGAATCCTCTCATTTACTCAGAGGTACAGTCAATGCAGAAAGTATAGTCAACCCCTACTCAAGCTAAATATAAGTGGCTATAACTTTTGCATGCATTATAAAAGTAGCATAGTGTATTTTGTACACAAGAATGTGTGAAGATTGAAATGTTTATGGATTAAAAT